GGGCCATTCAAGAATCGGGGACACCCTGTACATTAAAAAGCTCTGTGTCAAGCCTTGTCTGCACTTGGCCTGGGCTCGAAGCCACTCCCACAACACCCTCCTTAAGCCTGAAAACTGGATCCAGGCTGGAGACTCTACCAGAAAAAAGCAACAATGTGACCCATTAGGAGAGTATGAATGAAATCACCCCCAAGAGCAGTTCCCTTTCTGACTCAAACTTGACCTAGGAGGGACTTCACTCCAGTAACATTTTTCAAGATGTTCATCTTTTAACTCCTTTTAAAAATTATGTAAGTAATAAAAGGTCATTGCAAGAAAAAATAGAAAATGATAGATAAGCAAGAAGAAAACGGAGTAAATTACCTGACATTCAAATCCTCCCCCATGTAAACGTTTACATATTTGCACATTTTCATTTCACTTTTTAAAGTCACAGCTTAAATCCCCAAACCCAGCCCCTGAGACGTCCTAGCTGGCAACTGTATCTGGACGGTGAGATGACCGTGAACTTTGGTAAGAAACAACGAGGGGCGCTGTGGAGCCTTCGCCCTTGCCCGTGCCCCCTTGGCCCATCACCCTCACTCCCCACCTCTTCCTGCCCCAGAAGATACCTGCTCATTGATAGTCAGAGATGAATCTGGCCCGGCTCCAGGATCCATGGTCACCTGTCAGGGTTGGGTGGGCAACCTAGCACATCCTGTGGGGTGAGACGGGATGGGAAAAGCAAAGGCTGATGTGACACAGTAATCCCATTTCCACAAAGTCAGACATAGAATGGTAGGAAGAGAGAGAAGCTAAGTGTCCCAGGTATCTGTAGACGTAAAGGAGACAGGATTCTAAGGATTTTAAAACTGAAGTGTCTCACTTCCTACAGCGTCCAAGGAAAACCTACACTCTGGAGGAACCAGGGTGACAAGAGGAAAGAGAGGGCCAGGCATCTGTCCCTGAGAGTCCTCCAGTCCAATGGGAAAGAGCAGACCCGGCAGAACCCAAGGCGACTTTGACCCAGACACTCAGAAACAGAGGTAAGGAGCACACTGGGTATCAGAGCACTTCTCAGGGGAGGGGTCTGAGCGGACTTCCTGGAAGAGATAGTAAAGACAGGAATAAATTAAAACAAGTGTTTCAAAACTTTAATGTGCTTGATCACCACCTGGAACACATTAAAAATGCAGGCCTCCAGATTCCCCCAGACCAGACATCTCCAGATGTTTGTGCGGTATTGTACTGTATTGTAATCCAGAGTCTGATTCAGCAGGTGGGTCCCACAGAACCAGCTGTCAGGTGATTCTGCAGCAGTGGCCCAAGAACTATCCTGGCCTTTGACACAGGAGGCAGGACAACATCCCAGATGGTGAAGCAGTCTTTCCACATGCAGTGAGAAGGAATGAGAGGAGCCCCCGTGAGAACAGGTTGTCTGGAGTCACAAACCACAGTCACAAGAAATAGAGGTAATAGGGGTAAGGATATAGTTCAAGTGGAAGAGCATATGCTTAGCATGCATGAGGTGCTAGGTTCAACCCCCAGTATCTTTATTAAAATTTTTTAGAAATAAATAAGGAAAAAAAACCTAATTACCCTTCCCAAAATAAGTCACTTAAAAAAAAAGAAAGAAAAATAGGGATAATAAACGGGACAAGTAGTTTTAGACACTTAGAGAGAAAAGAAGGCAATGAACACTAATTCTGAGTGCCTTCTGTGCTGGGCAAAGCATTCTATGGAACAAGAACTCATGTGTTACTCATGCCGCTGGGGGATGGGGCCATTATCGTCCCCGTGTTATAGACGAAGACACTAAGCTTGGAGAAGTGTTCTGGATTCCTCACCCCTTCCCTGCCTCCTCCTCTTCTACCCGTGGGGTTGCTTCATTTGTTTTCCTTTTTTTGTTGTTATTTTATTGATTTAGGTAAAATTCACATAACATCAAATTCACCATTTTTTTTATACCATTTTGAAGTGTACAACTCAGTGGAACTTGGTACATTTACAATGTTGTGCAACTGGCACCACCATTTAGTTCCAGAACATTTTCATCATCCAGAAGGAAATCCATTAGCAGTTACTCCCTTTCTCTGCTGACCCCGAGCGCCTGGCAACCATAATCTGCTTCCTCTCTATGGATTTGCCTATTCTCAATATTTCATATAAATGAAATCATACAAATGGGGCCTTTTTGCATCTGGCTCCTTTTACTTTGTAGAATATTTTCAAGGTTCATCCAGGGTGTAGCATATGTCAGTATTTCATTCCTTTTCATAGCTGGATAAAACTCCACAGTACAGGCTTCTGTGTTCTCTGGGGATGGCAGAGGCAGAGGTAAACCAAGATTTCATTCGTAAGATGGAAAGCCCATCAGACTCAGCTGTCTGGATTACTCTACCCAGTGATCCACAGGCCTGTGTTAATCCTCCCCACATGAAGAGTTCAAGAAAACAGTCCATGAGTGCAACACTTAGAGAACAATTAAGGAAAACAAGATCTTCATTTAATTCCTCTAATTAAGTGGCATGGTAAAGTGTTGTAAAGTTGAGAATGAAGAAAATGATCAGATCTTTTCAGAGGAACCAGTATCTTCAACAAAATAAAACTGGAATTTCAAGAAAAACTTAAACACAGAGTGAATTAGAAGAAAATACATATTTGAAAAATACTTTGCAGGACATCAATGCATGTGAATCTAAGTCACCGGATACTGTGTCGGGCAGGGGTCTCCAAAATGATTTTGTGACTGAGAATTTTCCCAAACAAGGATGAAATGAAGAAAAAGCAAAATTGGTGAAGGAGATTCAGGAGAAAGAAGACCTTCTTCAGAGGCTAAAACTAGTCAAAATGTATCACTCAAAGAATGACCTGTCCCAGTTACCGCTGTTAATAAGGAAGTGGAGAAGCTGTAGCCAGATATTACTCTGTAAGCTGCTCTGTCTGAAAACAACAAGAAACTGAGACTCACCCCCTTGACAGATCACTACGGGGTACATGAGAACTTGCTACATTATAACAGGAATGGAGAAGAATTTATAGAAGTGTAATTCATAATTTTTTCTCCAGAATACCTTTGAGAATGACAACATAACAAAAAAGTACTTATACATTTTAAAGAAGATATAAACCACTAGGGTTTAGAGAAAGGTGTCCTGTTAAACATCAATGTAGAACACTCTGTTATCTAACTATAAACCAAGTTCTAAAATGAAAATTCAGTATTTTGGATAAGCAATACTTAAGTAAATATAAACAGAATCTATGTAATGATTTTTTAAAATTTGGACAATTCTGTAAGTCAGTTTTAATACATTGTTTTGTTTATTACGGTAACAAGTTTTATTGTAAATGTTAAAAAATAGTCCAACCGGGTGAATGTCTAAACCTAAATGGGTCTAAAAACACCTGCCTCTCTCCTCATTTCATGACACTTATTTCCATCCATTTATCACATATTTCTGTTTGGATGATCTAGCAGGCAATTAAACTCATATGTCAAAAAAATTCCATTCTATAGATATACCATATTGTGTTTACTCACTCATCAGCTGATGGATGGTTTGGCTCCTGTGACTAATGCATCTATGAATCTTTGTGTACAAGTTTTTGTTGGGACACTTGTTTTCAGTTCTTTGGGGTATACACCTAGGAGTGCAACTGTTGGCTCATCCCAGGGGCTTTAGGGTTTTCACCCCATTATTGTGATAAATAGCATGTCTGGATGGCCTCTTTGAGCTCGTGATGCCATGTCCACAGCCTGACAGCAGTGAAGACAGACCATCAGCTGTCTGTTTTAAAAGAAGGGGCTCCTACGATCACCCCAGCAGTAGAACTCCGGTACACACACAAATCACAGCAGAGCCGCTCTGGTTAAATCTAGGACAGGAAACAGTACCCAGCCAGAGCCCCCCTCCTTTGCCTTCTTTCTCCCGTGAATTGAGTGTGAAAAACACCTGAATCAAACCTAGCAAGGGTTACAGATGGCTCACTTGTCCCCGGTTTTTCTGTGCTATCATCTAAAAACACAGGCAACCTTGGAATTATGGGTGCAGAGGTATTTTCCCACACCCAAAATCCAGAGGTCCAGGACTATCCAGGACTTTCATGGGAGGAGATTGAGAGGACCTGGTTCTATTTATCATTCTTCTCTGGGAACTGCTTTGGAACTGCTAAGGCCCCCAGGGGGAGCACTGGGAAATCTCAAACAAATCAGAACCCCCTAAAATAACCTGAGATCCTACTAAGAAAAATCCTGAAATGCTTCATCCTTTGTTTATTCAACAAAAACTTCAGCAGCTACTACGTGCTGAGTGTTGGGGATACAGCTGGGGGGAAAAACACATTCCCCAGGTTTGTCAAGAAGCCAACAGTCTAATATGAGAGTCAAAAAAATAAAAAGGTAACTACAATACATATGTTTAAGTGTCCTGGTGGATGGACAGAGGCTGGTAGAGGATCCACAGAAGGAACACCTAATACAGGTTGGTGTGGTCCTTTGCCCCTTGTTCCAGGGTGGCATGTGTTTCAGGCATGAAATTTTGTAGTGTGTGAAAAATCTTGTGCCATGTAGAGCAAAATGGAATTTGTTGTATAGGATTCAGATCTTTAATTCAGACTCATTTCTGTGTTTTTAATCATTCCCTTATACACTTAATATGCTTGAGGTTTCCAAGGTGTAAAATACCTTCTCATCATACAGTCATTTTGGAGGCTGAGGGTACTCTGTGTGAAGTGAAGGGATGGCTGGTTAGGCTGAACTGAAAGAAAGTTAACATTAGCCATGGGAAATTACCTTTCAGATTTTCGATATCATAGTCCTCTCAAGCTAGGCTGTTTGTTGACATCAGCATCTCTAGCTCTACTTTTATATCTTAAACTGTGCACCCACTTACCTCCTGCAGAACTGCCATTTAAAAAGACCACGAGGACAGGAAGCAAGAGACTAGTATAGATTGGTAGCTAGGGCTGAGCTGGTTACTGCAGACAATTCACTCATCACCTGCTCCCAAGACGGTCTCATCCAAATCTGACAACTACCAAGTCAACTCCCTAGCTTGGACCTCACCCGGGAACCTCAGACTCATATCTCCAACTGCCTACTGATTGCTCACATCATCTCATACTCAACATATTCAAAACCAAGCTCCTGATTTCCACCCCAAACCTGCCCCACCTGCCTGCAGCCTTCCCCATCTCTGTAAATGGCAGCTTCATCCTTCCACAGATGCGCAGGCCAAAAACCTTACCATCGTTCTTGCCTTCTCTCTTATGTCTGTATTTACTCCTTCACATCCTGTTAGCTGTCCCTTCTAATGGAGAATCCCTCTGACTTCTTATCACTATCACCCTGGTCCATGATTCTGTAGTGCCTGGTGTAAAGGAACACGACATCCCCTCCTGCACACAAGCATTATCTGCCCGGTTCTTAAATCGCCAGACTCCATGAACGTTGCTGCCTCTTTCAAGTTGTCATTGCCTGATGGGTTTTCCTCCCACCCTTCTCCATTTCTGGCCCCAGGATACAGATGTCACTTCCCACCTGCTGAAAAATAGTCATCATCGACAGTTTATCGGGACCCAGCCCCTTTGCCCATAGTATTACAGTGAGCACTCTCTGGAAACAGACTTTCAGGTTCACAAGCTCAGCTTTGGTATTCATTCACTGTGGGACTCAAGACAAATGATTTAACCTCTGTGCCTCAGTTTTCTCATCCGTAAAAGTGAGAGTAATAGCACCTACTTCATAGGGCTATTATGGTTACTGAGTCAATTAATGCATGTAAAACGTTTAGATCAACTCCCGGCACATAGTAAGTGCTCAGAAGATGGTAGTCACTGTGAAAATGTACATACATTACCTCATTTCAACTTAGTAGAGCAGTTAGGAACTTCCAGTTCATCTTGGTCATCTCATTCATCTCTCAGTTTCACCATTTCCTAGCTGTGAGACCTTGGACAAGGACCTAACATTTCTATGCCTCAGTTACCATATTTGAAATGGGGATAGAGTTGTAATAAATTGTATAAGGGTTCAATAGATGTTAACTACTGTTATTCAATTTTGACAGCAGCATAAGGCCATAGAGCAACATACTGAAGCAACTGACCCCAGGTAGGTGGGTTACTTTACTTATCTGTTTTCTCAGGGATAAATAACAAGAGCGCTTACCTTGGAATTACTGTACAAAACATAAGAATAATTAGCTATTATGATCCCTCTTTTTTATTGATGAGAAAGTTGAGGATCAAAGAGAGGTAAGGGTATTCGCTTAGGAAGCAACCTAGAACAGATCCCAGGTTGGCCATGAAATAGCCATGTGATTTTGGGCAAATGATTTCGTCTCTTTGAAACTCAATTTCCTTATCTTTAAAATGTTGACTAAATGGGCAAGCCTTATGGGGTTGTTATAATGATACGGGAAAATGGAGGTAGAGAGAGGTCAGATGACTTGCCCAAGGGCACAAGAGTCAATGGCACATTCAAACTTCAAGGCCACATCCACCTGCCCCAGATCCCTATCCTCCTGACATCCCGCCAAGTGTCCACTCAGGAAGCGGGAGGAAGGCTGATGGGAGCTGCTCTGGCCCCCAAGGATCGGGATACGCTGGAAAATGGGAGCTCTCAGTTCTGCTTCAGACTAAATTTATTAATTTACCACACACACCTGTCCCCACAATTCACTGACAGAGAAAAATAGCTTGCCAAGCTGTTGGTAGACTCACTTGGCACACACATGGGCCAGAAGGAAGGGAAAAGGAAAAAGATAGGAAAGTAGTGAACAACCTTATTTCCCCTTTCCCAACCTACCACTGTAATCTTAGACAAACAGTAAAGACTAGTTTAATAAGGACAAACTTAGATTCAGTTTCTCTTCCTGCCCCCTTTCCCCTGTGCCCAAACTTGATTCACCCCAGGCAGGGTGAAGGGAGGGGGCAGATGAAATGTGAAAAATAAAAAGCAGGTATGTTCCCCTTCTAGATTGTAAGCACCAAGAAGGCCTATCCACGTATCATATTCCAGTGCCTCGTATAATTCCTGGTATATAACAGAGGTTAATGAATGTGAGCTGAAAACATAAATTAAAAAATTAGATCATATCACTTAACATCCTCATATTTCCTGCCTTCTCCTTAAAATACATATCCTATTTCAATTTTTTTGCCCTCATTCCCAATACTAGGCCTATTTTAAAATGATTTCAAAAAAGTAGTATTAAGTTCTGGAGAACTCTGGTCACACTCTCCCCTTCCTAATGTGCCAGTCCTGCTCCTCATTCTCAAGTGTTCCTTCATATGGCCAGTTTCTTGGGAGTCCTACTCCCTCTGTGGCCTCCCTGATCCTCATTTTCACACAGAAAGAACTTGGGGCTTAAAGACAGAAGACACAGACTGAGTACTGCTTCTGCTTCAGGTAACCCCTCTAAGCCTCAGTTTCCTTACCTGTGAAATGGAGCTAAATCATAGAACCCAGCTTAGAGGGTGATTGTGAGGATTAAATCAATAATATTTATGTAAGGGTCCTGGCATACAGCAAACACTGTGTAACTGTTTGTTACTGTTATTGCTATTATTTTTAATTGAAGTAAAGCATATATATCAAAATGTTATTAATTGTAAAGCACTATAAAAATGTGTAAGATTACTATGATTTTCCAGTGAGTAAATCTTGGGGAAGGGAGACGTGACCTTGTCCCATGTTCCTTCATAATGCAGAGAACCTTTAGAGCAGCAAACTTCTTCTGACTCATTTCCTAATTTCTAGGTAGTACCTCCAAGAAGAGAACAACCCATCACACACACACACACACACACACA